ACTGCAAAACCGGAAACATCGGCCCTGCGCAGTCACACGGTACTTCTTCAAGAGGAGCGCGGGCAAACGGTAGGGGTGCGCCGTAGTAGTAGTAGTAGTAGTAGTAGTAGCAGCAGCAGTAGTGGTGGCAGTACTAGTAGTAGTGGTAAGTGGCAGTGGTAGCGGCAGTAGCAGTCGCATCAGCAAAGGTAGAGGCAGAGCAGAGGCGGTGGCAACGGCAAAAACAATGGCAGTAGGGAATGTTTTAGTGATGGTTGCAGTACTTGTAGTAGTCGTAGTAGTCGTAGTTGTAGTAGCTGTAGCAGCTGTAGTAGCTTTAGTAGTTGTAGGTGTAAGTGTGGTAGTTGTAGTGGTTGTTATTTTCTTGTCGTGGTTATTCTTGTTCTTCTTGTTGTTGCTGCTGCTACTGCTGTTGCTGGTGCTGGTGCGGGTGCCGGTGCCGGCTCGTGCTGGTGCTAGTGCTGCTGCTGTTGTTGCTGTTGTTGCTCTTGTTGCTGTTGTTGCCGCTATTGCCGTTGTTGCTGTTGTTGCTGTTGTTGCTGTTGTGGCTGTTGTGGCTGTGGCTGTGGTTGTGGCTGTGGTTGTGGCTGTGGTTGTGGTTGCGGGTGCGGTTGCTAGTGTTGTAGGAGGTGAAGTATCTAGGGTTGTAGAAGGTGTGGTAGCAGCGCCCGCAGCAGTAGTTGCATGCTCCATCTTTCGAGCGAGCGATTCACCACGTGCAACCTAGCCGGGACCCTCTGCTGTCCCTTAGCCCCTGGCACCCATCACCGCCTGTGAGCGCCGCCTCAGGGCAGAGGCCTCGGCTGAAGAACAGGGTCAGCAGGCCAAGGGTAGAGGCCGGCCGAATTGCTCGCACGGGTCGTACTGAGACGTGCACGAAAACCAACTCAACGCTCCGGCACACTTCAAGCCAGAACCATTTTCTGCCGCAAGCTTTCAGGGAGACTCAGACGCTTCGAGGAGTGTGAAAGCCCGATGCACAGCTAGCCTCCCACTTGAGAACCAGAGAAGTTCACGCGAAGTCGCCGGAACTTTCAGTCGGCCCTGCAACCTTCGGGTCTCGGCTCAGTAGAGGTACGCTGCACACTGGAGAATCCCATACTGTACCGTGAGGGCCAAGGACCAGTCTTGCAGACTCGGACATATCGGAAAAGATGGCCCGGATGCTCTCAGGCGAGATCTTCCTTCTTCGTGAAGAAGCGAAACCCACCCAGCTCGCAATGACGCTGTTGTACATTCATAATTCATATGTAGTGGCTACGGCTACACGACTCGCTAGACCTGTGGGCGCAGTTGCCGCAAGGCGCGGACACATCTCCCAGCATCGCCACGGCACAAGTACGCTCGGAAGCCATCTGTGTGTGTGCCAGTCCCCGGACGAAGGCACAGCCAGGGACGTGAAAGAAAAAAGTCATAAACCCCGGCGCACCAGCTTCCACCTCTTGGCCCAGACTGGTGCGAGCGGATGACTTCGGAATTTACGGCGGCATCCTGAAACACGCTCAAGTTTCCCGCCCTGCTGGGAAGTCTGCTGGGTACAGGCTGATCTGTGCTTCAGCGCGATGCTGAGTTCCATGTTGCACATGCTGAGCTCGGGCGTTTTGTTCCGGCAGCTCGCAGAGTGCAGAGTTCACTGAATGGTACAGGCGATTGCCTGCCGCTTCCGTGGATGTGGGCCGTCATCCCGATGAACTGCCTTGTATGCGGCCTCCGTGAGCCTCACATCAACGGATTCCAGGTCGGTCACTGGGAACCGAACGACCAGCTGCCCTCCACCAGGTGTGGATGTCAACACCAAGGCATGCCAGAGCCACGGGCACCTCGATCCTGGGGTTTGTGACATGAAGAATATGAAGATGATTCTCTTGCCGTGGGTTGCCGACTGAAGTGGAGAGCCGGAGCTCTCTCTCTGTGCCGTGGACTTTCGCAAAGTGCCTTCGTACTGCTGAGGGGATGCAGAAGCAACGAAGCCTTGGCCAACACCGTCAGGAGCGAGCTCACGCCATGCAAAAGAAGCCCAGACCACGACTGTGGTTTAGCGGCAGAAGCCTATACCATCGGCCGGTCGGGAAGACAACAGTCTGTGGGGGCCGAAGATCATTGCAGGCACATGGTCATCGACAAGTCCGGCACGACTTTCCTTTGAGGCCTGCAAATCTGGTGATCCGCGGGACCGTCCATGTCGAAAAAATCCCAAAGCCCAAGCTCGAGCGGGGAGCTTTGTTGTTTCAACCCCTGTGTGGCTTGGTGCTCTTGTGAAAGCCTCCTGCAACTTGTTCCTGTCAGCGAAACCACGTGCCACCGAAGCTGGCATCCATGCGCACGCTGTAGGCGCACCCAACTGCTCAAGCTGCATCCACCTTCCGGGCATCCTGGGGTGCTGGGCCTTCAGCTTTTCGGCAGCTTTTGCCACCTGTTTCTGAAGGAGCCAAGTGCCCACACTGCCCTGTGACACCTCTTTCTTGCGCACCGTTGTTCGATGCAACTCTTGCGCACTGCGCGCATCCAAGTCTCAGTCACAGTCTCGCGAGAAGACAAATCTGCACCCATTCTCTGCCTCCACCACCCACTTCCTTTAGCGAACGTTCAGGGCAATCTTCGAAACATAGTTCCCTTTTCATGATCGGGACAACAGCGGAATGCTACAGAGGCTTTGTTGCAGACTAGCTTCGTATGGCTCCAGCCCCAGCTGCTGTGAAAAGAATCATCCCAGGTTTCCACCACACGCCATCGTCGGGCTCGAAGTAAGCGGCGTTGCAGCTTTTCGAAGGGAACCTTCACAAGGCAAAGTGCAAACAAAAGACATGCGAGCGGCACCCATCTCTGGACACATCCACGGACAGGACAATCAATGCCTCTGTAACCTCCGTCTTCTTGTGCTCCCACTTCATGCGCTCCGGGGGATGCTGCTCCGTGAAGGGCTGCAGCTGCTTTTCAAAGCCTGAGCGTGGGGTCGGGATTCGTGACGCCACACCTCACCTTCCGCCTGACTCAGCCAATCGCCCTCATTGCTAAGCAGCAAGGATCATCGTCGCTGCAGACTACCTTGCCACCGAAGCCACGAAACAAAAACGGCGCCCCGCTGAGTCCACTGTGAAGGTGACCGTTGGAGCTGCACCAAGCTTCCTGGAAGCCACTGGAGACAAAGGAGGCAAGCGGTGATTGTTATCGCATACAAAGGGCAGACGTATTTGTCCGGCCAATGCAACCTCGCAGCGCCCGCAATTTCGACTCTGCCCAGGACGAAGCCGTCGAGCTCCCGCCATGCCTTCACAGAAACATCCACAGCACTATGATCACCACTTGGGTACCATCATCATCCTAAACCGGAGCATCGCAACCATCACCATCACTGCTTTCTGTGACTTAAACGTTGCCGTCACTTCCAACCCTCGCACACCATTATCGTCAACGTGCTCACAAGAAAAAGACGAACAAAGAAGAGAAGAGGACAATGCCACCAAATGACAAACAAAAACACAAGCGCAAGTCCAATAGGCCACAGGACAGAGAATAAGACGATAGCATTTCACCATATCAGTGACTCGGGACGATTTCTGTGCAGACTACAAAGCGAAACTATCGCACGTCTTGCTCGCATGAACAGCAGCACCAACAACAACAACAACTACAACTACCACTACCACGAGTCTACTGCTAAACACAGCAACAATTACTACTACTACTACTACTACTACTACTACTACTACTTCTACTTCTGCTACTACTACTACTACTACCACCACTACTTTTACTACTACTACTACTACTACTACTACTACTACTACTACTACTACTACTACTACTACTACTACTAGTATTATTATTACTACTTTTACTACTACTACTACTACTATTACTACTACTACTACTAC